TTTTGATAGAATATTTTAAGGTTGCAAACAAGGGTATTATCACAAAATGTATTATTACAAATATTAGAAAAATTAATAGGTTTACAAAATGAGGCTTTTAAGTTAGTGAAGACATGCAAGAAAGAATCTAAAGTTAGTTCAGCAGTGTAGCAGCGTAAGCAGTTTGAAGAACGAAGTTTAATGTTATACATACACTTGCAGAGTGAATCAGTTAAGTAGGAGTATTAGCATGAGTCATTTTTTCCAGTTTTGTTCAGGCCACGGAGTGCTTGCCTAGGCAGCGACAAGTCGAATACTGCTAGTTTTTTGATTGGATAGGGGCCGAATTCAATACTTGATGGCGTATTTCCTGGGATGATCTGCGGGCCGGTATAATACAGGGGAATCCATCTCTGTATTTGATCACCAAGTCAGATTCACCGTTCTTTTTGCGATTTTTGAAATCAGCGTATACAAGACGAATTGCTTCACGCTCACTCGAGGTGCGATCACGAGTAACCGAGATGGGATGGCGCATATTGTCAGTATGAGTAGATCTAATATTTGTATTATAGTCAGAGACAAGTTTCAGGGCTATTTCTTTGGACTGGAAGAAAACCTCGGTGACCTCGACCACTGGGTTTACCTAGCCTTATTGCTTTAAAGTCAGATGGTAATTCGGGAAAGTACGTTTTGATAGTCTCAGTTATTTTTAGGACGTCATTAGAGACTCTATCTTCTAATACAGAAGAAGAAGATTCTTGAGCACCACGAATAATGACGTTACGAGTACAACGCTCACATTCAGTGATCTCTTGGAGAATGCTAAGATTAGTGTCAGCCGAGGAGGTACGACAACTACTGTTTGCAGATTCAAGGTCTTGGACTCGTTTGCTGAGACTAAAGATGATTTTTTGGAGTTTGTCGTTCTCAGATTTTAATTCAACAACCTGAGGGGACAGACGACCTAAGCTTTCATTGAGTTAAGAAAATTGAGCATTTTGAGATTCACACAAGATTACACTGGGCCAGGGTTTCTTTTTGTGTTTTTTGATGTTCAGCCATAGTGTTGTTAAAAACATCAAGGGTCGGCAAACCGGAAGAAGAAGAGGTTGATTTAGAAGACTTGCCAGACATTACAGAAGTAATATTTCCAATAGTGGTTGATATTGAGACCCTTGAGGGCGAGTTCTGACTCATTTAAGTAAATACGCCTCGTAAGAAAGGTAGGCAACCAAAGCTGCAGGTAAACCAGACGGGCCGATGAGATATGCGGGTTGATGAGCTAACGATCACTACATCACGATGTATATATTTATATTTATATTTATCAACGCTGTTTCAACTATGAAATGCACGCAGTGTACAGCGCGTGAGTCAGTACGGGTCTAATCTCTCCGATAACGCGATAACGACTGTCGCGGGTTTTGGAACCTTGTACCGATAAAAATAAGATTGAACACACGTTTCAACGGTGGCCGATTATAAGCTGGAACCACTAATAATTGCTCTTGAGGGGAGGGTATTGGTCACACCGACTCAAAAACGACACCGATCTGAAAGCGCACTTTTTAGAATCTAACAAGATAAAGAACACAAAAAACTGTCTATATTTACCGGAGTAATAAGAAAAAGACACTGGAGCGAATTTAACCGTTCGACGTTTAACATGCAATTATTTACATTATAATTATAGGTTCTGACAATCTAGAGACATTGTTTTTAAATCCACCATAATAGTTAATCATTCCAACAAGCGCTCTAAAACCATCTATATCTAGAAGTCTAGACACATTTATAACACATTTATAATAGCTTCTACCTTTGGTGGATATTATTAAGAACTTCCTTATTAATAATATGCCCAAAATTTGGTCCGTTTTTATCTTTTTTGATTCCAATAAACCGTTGATTCTATAAACCAGAGATCACATTAAGGGGAACCATAGAACATGAAATTATTATTACATTACGATCTATGTTGGAACTCACTGTCGCAGACCATGAACTCAACGAATTAATTCAAGAGTTCGTAAAGAATAATAGAATATATTGCTGCATGAATAATAGCTTCAACCTCACACTGTTCATAAATTTATTGTAATCGTAGTTATTGTATACAAGGAACTGCTAACCAAATCACGAATAAGTGAAATATCAATTAGATATCAGTATTCAGACGGACTTCCATAGCACACGTGACCCGTCCAAATCAAAGGAGTCGACTTGATTTATAAAGAAGCCCAAAATACAGCACATGGAGAGTTATACCATAGCCATTCTCACCTGATTCACACCATTCCACTTTCAAGGTACTGATATCGATCGCTAACACCTCGCTTACAACATCTCTTTAAATTGTATTACATTTTTCATACAAACATAATGTATGTTGCTGGAGTATTGTATGGAAAAAATTAGTACATTAACTACTGAAGTTACACCATTACGCCAAGAGAGAGTGTTTGCTCAAAGTCCAAAATATATCGTAACAAGCTTCAACCAACGAGGGGCTGGGCGGACACAGTAAACTAGGGTGTGGCCATAGTCTTGACAGTTTTGGCATTGATCAACCATTTTTGGTTTGTACGGTTCTTCAACTCTTAACTTCGTATGAAGTAGGGAAGATAAATGGTATATTACATTGGAGTGTCTGGAGACTCCAAATCAATTAAGAACAGTGAGAGCGGGTGTTTATTGATCTTAATCAGCACGTTTGTGACTTGTTTGACCTCACAGAGACGTGCTTCAAGTTTCGATTTTATCAGTTCCGTATGTGTGAAATGGAGCAGATTTTGAACAACTAATCTTGTAGGTTTATTCTCACTCATTTGGTAGGTGTAGTATTCAGCTTTTTGGTCTTTAGGGCATATGGTTCACTATCTTAGCTGAAAATGTGACAACGTTCTTCAATCCTCGAGCTACGGCCCAATGTATCCATATAATAACTACCAAGAGTTTCGCCGATGATAAAACTCGTCAATTCCTGACTGTCTCGAGATAAACGATGATTGCCAAAATGATTCTAGTGGAACAAAGAGGTAGGACGACCCAATAAGTCTACGTGAACGGACGGAACTTAGTCCGCTAGGCTCAAGCGTTAGCAAACGACAAAAAATGTGTGTGCTTAAGACCACACGACAGAAGTTAAAACTTCAACAAGGCGAAATTAATAATACGAAATACAAGTTTATAAACCATAATATATATATATTCATATTATAAAAAAAATAAAACAAGTTTGGTAATGCGAATACGTAGCAATAGAATTTCCAAAGTGTAATACATATAATATTATATATTATATAGACTTGATGAATATATATACACTATACATCTTTCCTTAAAAGTTTAACATATTATGTACAATTGTATTACCATTAATATATTAAAATCACATTGAATGTTCTGCCTATTTCATTTAACTTATGTTGTTTAAAGCTACTACATTATTGTCATTATATTATAATATTATTATGTCTAATGAATAGGTACAAAATATTATTTTTTGAAATGTGATCTATAATGCTTTAATTGAAGTTTGATTCAACATCAACTATAAGTGGTAACAACAATTTTGTTTTTAAGACATAATGTTCCGTTTAAAGAAAATTTCTTCTAATATTAGTAAAAGTACTAAACAAAGAATAAAAAAAGCTCAACTTGAAGCAAGTATTTTATGAGAAGAAACTTTTTCAAAACAAAAATCTAATGATAATATTTCCCAACTAAAGAATAGCATACCAATATATGAAATACAAAATAAATGTTTTAAATATATTCCTTCAGTAATACATAAAACATCATTATGAAAATTATACTGAACAAGAAATTCTTTCAAAAAAAAAGATAAGTGATGATGATCTGTATGATGTGATAGAATCAAATTTAAAAATATCTTTCCAAGATTTGATTGCCGGTTGGGCCCTTAAAAATTGTGTACCTCATTTGATTTTGAATGAATTGTTAAAAATATTAAAAATATGGCCATCCATATATTTGTGCTGACTCTTGAACATTATTAAAGACTCCTCCTCTTATAGTATCAAGAAATATTGCTGGTGGCCAATATATACATTTTAGCTTAACATCCGAGATTATCCCTGTACTTATTGACAATAAATTATCGAATAAAATCTAAATACTTTACAACTGATGGTAGAGATAGATGGTTTGCCCATATCCCGTAGTACTCAAAGCGAAATTTGGCCAATTTTAGGATATTTTTCTAATATACCAGGTAAACAAGTTTTTGCTATTGGAGCTTTTTGGGGACAATCAAAACAAAATAATTGTAATGATTTTTTACATGACTTAGTAGAAAAAATAATACCATTAATAAATTATGGAATTGTGTACAATAATAAGCATGTGAACATTTTATTACATGGTATTATATGTGATGCTCCTGTGAAATCGTTTGTATCAAACACATTAGGACAGCGGTTCCCAAACTGTGCACCGCGGTGCCCTTGGGGCACCGCGAGTACTTTCTGGGGGCACCGCGGTCTACGTTTCATAAGTTTAAAATGTATATAAAAACCATATGCCCAATTACTGGGTTTGGTATTTATCAGTATAATATTATTACTAGATATGATTTTATGGGTAATAAATTATTACAAATAATTGTTGATTGTTGACTGATTGTACCTTTATTATCTAATCATATCAGACGATGTATTCAATTAACTATTACTTATTAGTCTGTCATTTGTAACTACTTGAGCTCTTTACCTTCAGTAGTGTGCGTGACTTTACACCGTTTAGTCGAATTGTGTTATTTAAGTATCTAGTGCGCGCATTGTTTACGCCGTTTAAGTGTTCTTCTCTTTTTTTAAACATGGACCGTTGGTTGAAAGGTGGACATTTTAATAAGAAGCCTGTTACAGAGGAATCTCTTAGTAGAAGGCAGAATCAATGACGAAAATGGTAGTCAAGTAGTTCATCGTTGTAATTCAAATGCAAATGGCTTCATAAATCCGATCAAAAAACGTAAATACAACGAAAGTTATTTAGAGATGGGGTTCTCAGAAACTAATGATTGCCAGCCACGGTGCGTTATTTGTTTGAAAGTTCTTCCTAACAGTTCCATGTATCCCGGAAAATTGCGTCGTCATTTTGAAAAGAACCATCCGGATTATGAAGGCAAAACTACTGATTATTTTAAACGAAAGCGCACTGAACTATTGGCTTTTCAAAACAAAATAAAAACACACGTTCAAACTGACAACGAAAATGCATTGAGAGCTTCCTACATGGTGAGCTACCGCATTGCTCAAAAAGGTGAAGCTCATACTATTGCTGAAACGCTTATAAAACCATGTCTTATTGATATAGCAACTTGTATGCTTGACGAAAAATTTGCCAAACAGTTGTCAACAATTCCTTTGTCAAACAATACTGTTGCGCGACGAATAGCAGATTTAGCTACAAATGTAGAACAAACACTTGTCTCTATTATTAAATACAGAAAATTTGCTCTACAAATGGACGAATCAACTGATGTGGCATGTCTAGCTATTTTGTTGGTGTTTGTTCGTTACGAAAATATTCATTCTTTTAAAGAGGACCTTTTATTTTGTCGACCACTTTTATCAAATACGACGGGGGTCCAAATTTTCGGATTATTGGATGGTTTTTTCACCGAAAATAAGATTCCATGGACCAATTGCATTGATGTGTGTACTGATGGTGCGAAGGCCATGGTAGGAGCAACAGCTGGAGCAGTTGCTAAAATAAAAGAAAAATCTAAAGAAATTCGAAGTAGTCATTGCATACTGCACAGACATGCTCTGGCAATGAAAACCATGCCTTTTTCTTTGAAAAACGTTATGGATGATGCTATAAAAATAATCAACTTTATCAAGTCACGGCCTCTGAAATCCCGACTTTTTAAAATTTTGTGTGATGACATGGGAAGTCTTCATAGTACATTACTTTTCCACACAGAAGTCAGGTGGCTGTCACGCGGCAAGGCTCTTACGCGGTTAATGGAATTACGAACTGAAGTTCTTTCATTTTTAATGGACCACAACGTTACATTGGGTGAAATCATGAATGATGTAACACGGCTCTGTCAATTTTCATACTTGGCTGATATTTTTAGCAAAATGAACGAGCTCAGCCTTTCCTTACAAGGAAGGACTATGACAATTTTTGATGCCAGCCACAAAGTAAGTGCATTCAAAAGGAAAATTGATTATTGGGCACAGTGTACTACTAAAGGCAAATTTGAATGTTTTCCAATAATGCAAGCCTTTTTGGAAGAAAATGATGAGCAGGTTTCTACTAATATTGTCAACGAGATTATTGAGCACCTCAAACAGCTAAAAAATTCTTTTGAGCAATATTTTCCTGCAGATCGGGAAGTATTGTTGAAAGACCATGAATGGGTACTGAATCCATTCTCAGTTTGTATGAAACCTTCAAGCTTATCTTCAAGTGATTACGAAAGGTTGATCGATTTAACTTCTGACTTAACATTAAAATCTTCCTTCAACAGCAATTCGTATGCCGAATTTTGGTTAAGTTTGAAAGACAAAAGTTATGAAGGTTTAAGCGAGAAAGCGAAAACACTATTTTTACCCTTTGCCACTACTTACTTATGCGAGTCAGGATTTTCGTCATACGCTGCAACAAAAACCAAATACCGCAACCGCCTCAATGTTGAACCTGACCTCCGTCTCCAATTATCAAAAATAAAACCTGACATTGCAAAACTGTGCCAAAATAAGCAGCCACATGCATCACATTAATTAAAATTAAATTGTAAATATTTTTCATTTGTAGTATTTTTATGTAATAATTATAATCATAATAACAATAATTTTTATTTATTTATCTTTTTAAAAATGCATTAATTTATAATTAAATTAGTTGTGTAGCTTAGAATGCAAGATTGTATTAGGTTTAATAAAATTAATAAAATTGGTTCTCAATGAGTACTTTTTTTGTTCTATCTTTCGTGTTATATACAGCAGGGCACCGTGGCTAACTTGGTGCCTCTAAAAGGGCACCGCGGAAAAAAAAGTTTGGGAACCGCTGCATTAGGACATACTGGAAAAGTAAGCTATTCTAAGTGTACCATTGAAGTAATTTGCCTAAGTAAAGCATGTTTCCCCATAATTGATGCCCCACTTCAGACTGATGAAAGTTTTAGAAAAAGTGAAGACTCAAAATATCACAATGGACCAACCATTTTAGTTAATATACCTAAATTTTCAATAGTTGGGTTTTATATTATTTATTACATGCATTTGATTTGTGAAGGAGATGTACTAAAAATTGTAAATTTATGGATAACTGGTGCTAATAAAAATCCAAAAAAACATTACCTGATAGTTTAATTCAGGTTGTTAATAAAAGACTTAATTGTTTAGCCAAATATATCCCACTTGAATTTCAACGCAAACAAACAGAAAATTCCAGAATGCATCCTTTGTCTCAAGCATTGTGTTGGAAAGCAACTGAGTCACGAAAATTTTTACTATTTACATCTGTAATATGCATTAAATGTGTAGTTTTGGATAACATATAGAATCATTTTATAATATTATGTATAGCGATGAGGATTTTACTTCGAATTCAATGCATAAAACATTTAATGAATATGTAACTCAACTGTATTATATGCCATCCAACATATGACATACAATATTTGTGGTCTTATTCACCTAGCTAAAGAAGCTTTAAAGCATGATGAGTTAGATCAGTGCTTAGCATTTTTTGGGAGTTTTATACAACTACTTAAAAACGATATTAAATCTCTAGTCAAACCACTGCAACAACTAGCTAGAAGATGTATGGAAAGAAGACATTTTTATGATAAAATTGCTCTAACCAAACATGATACTTCTGATAAAAACAAATTGAGTGGTGATGTTAAATTATTTAGCAAAGCATCTTTTGAAAATGGAGGTCCCTTAACTTCAACAACTAAATATCCACAGTATAAAAGAGTAAAAACAAACAATTTTACAATAGGAACAAATATTCAAGACTGTTGTGTTCAAATGGATAATAAAGATTTAGTGGTTATTGAATCTTGAAGTATGAAACATTATGTAACATTTTTGATTTGCCATGTGAATTTAAATTTTTAGATATGTATTCTGTTTCAAACTTAGAGATGTTAAATGTTTGGCCATTGTCTAAAATTTAAAAAAAAATGGTTTGCTTTAGATCAAACTTCTTTTAGTCTCGAAATACTGATGTAGTGATGTCACTTATACATCTTACTTGATATAAGTATAGGTTTAATTTATGTTATTTTATGTTAAATACCTAATTATATTTAATTATGATCTTATAAATATTGGTAAATAATTAATAACTTAATAAAAAAATTAAATAAAAAATGTATTTTTATAATATTCAAAATTAGTCTATTTATTTATTATAATTATAATAATATTAAATTTAATGCAATTATACTATACTATTTAAATACACAATAACAGTGGTTTTAACTTTTATTCAGCATTACATTATACTACCATGCCTTAGTCAGCAGTCATTTTTATGGGGATCACTGAAAACTCACAACCAGCCAGCTGGTTTATTAAAAAAATGAAAATAATGAAGGACATTGTTGGTGGCCTTATAACAAACATGATAATCCACCTGAAATATCAATTCATTTTACTTCTTCTCAAATCAATAAAATGATTATTCAAGAAAGTGTTCCCAATGATTGCGATGGGTCCTATTGGCCAGCTAAATGCATATCAAAATTTGGCAAGTATTATAAATGTATTCTAATAAATTAATTCTATAATTTGTCATATAAAATGTTCGAAAATGTATAGTAAACAATACTGTTATTTTGAATATACCTACATCTATTTTATTCGATATAATAATAAATCTATACATTTTTGTTTCTTATTTCATATTAAAATATGAATATATCAATACCTTAATTCAAATAAAATAAAATAGCATTTTAACATAATTTCAATATTATTATAGATTTTTTCGTTTTCATTTGTTTTCTCTCTAGATAATATTATAATGGCCCGTTATGTAGCGAAAGTATTATCTGCCTCTGACTGTGAAACACAAACTAATAATGATCATCAAAATAATGAAGTAAATAAAGACAAAAGAAATAAACAGAATTCAAAATATCTACAAGAATCTGAGGATGAGATAATTTCCACTTCAAAAACTAAATTAAAATTGTATGAGAATAGTCACATGAGTCAATCTCAAAAGTAACTTTAAAAAAAACACAGAGTTGTTATGGATAATAAATTGAATAATATTATGTCCAATGAACAATTACCAAACAATACATTCAAACAAAAAAATTATCCTGCAAATTATATAATATAATTTATAATATAATATTATATAATTAATATTATTTTTTTATTAGCTTATTAATTCATGGTGTAGCTATATCAAAAAAAAAAAAACATTCCAAAAATAAATTCTATTCGAGCTAGGACTATAACTAATAAGCTATCATTAGTAAATGATTCATCACATATACTAAGCAGTTAAAGTATCAAGTATTATATTTACCTAGCTATTTAACAATATAATCACTAATATAAAAAACTATGTTTTAGAAAATTCTTACAGCATCAATAGTGCAAAAGCTGAAACTTATAGTAATGCTCTTACAATTAATGTGGATAATAATAATTTTATGAAAACAGTTATATAAAAACAATTATACTGATATTGAAGAAACCAGTACAACCATAGGTATATTTCAAATTAAGAATGTTGTTATTTATATAATAGAAACTAGATAATCAAACATTAAAATGTGTTTTAGACAATTCTCGCAGCATAGATAGTAAAGCTGATACTCTATTACTTTCTTTTTGTAATATTTTATATGATGATTATTTGAGAAATGTATCAACCCAATATAATTTAACTTTAAAGGAAACCAGTTTTGAGATAGGTAGGTATATACAATTTTCAATATACAGTGTTATAACTATAAGCATTTAAATATTCATAAGCAAAGTTTATTAAGTTAAGAAGTTAAAAACAATATTATATTATAATGTAATAAATTATGATTTTATTTTATCAAAATACATTTCTAAAGTAAGCTCTCATAATAATGTTATTCTTAACACAATAAACATTGCTCATGAACATTTAGTTCAACAGTTATATATATGATATGCACTAACTATAAATAGTATAATTTAATTACAATATTATAAACTATATATTATTAAAGTAACTTGACTTACATTGTATAAATATGACACATTTAATTCAACATTAACATTTTTTAAATTAATTTTAGTCCTTTTGTTATTTATAGATGAATGCACTAATGACCTTTCAGAAGTTTTGAATAATGCAGGTGGTGACTTATTTTTTGCTTAAAATGATGACAAAATATCAATCCGACCCAGATCAGACCATATTAATAATGCACCAATTAATGGTATAAACATATATATACTTAAAATTCATATAATATAAAAATTTTACTAATTTATTCATAATATATATTTTAACTACATAAATTATTTACATATTAAATATGCTATTAATATATTTAACAGAAAGTTTAATTGGAATGGATAACCATAATACAAACATTTTGGACAGTGATATTGTATGTATTATTATTTATTGAGTATGCACTAAAAAAAGCAACTATTCCTATTCTTACCCAAGTGACAATTCTACAAAAAACTTTGGATCATGTATAATTATTAAGATTTTGTATATATTGCTTTGTTTAATTTTGAACACGGAATCAAAGTTTGAAGTGTGTGTTATAGAAGTGTAATTGTTCTGTCTTGTCATATAGGTCATTGACAATCATTTGAAATTAGAAATTCACCAGTAAATGAACAAATTATTGTAGGTACATGAAAAGTTCACCGAAAGTTTTTAAGGTACTTATAAATATAATATTTATTCACTTTTTAAAATTTATTTTTTCAAGAATGTCAACAACATTTTTTCTGTGGGGAAAAAGCTTGAAAAAGTAATATGAGGTAACTCAGAGGTTATAATAATAGCAGTCAAGGACTCCCTATTCACATTAAAAGGCTTTGTAAATTGCTAGAAGTTATAAATATATAAAACATTCAATACGTATAGAAACGGTTTGAACATTAAAAAAAGGATTCCCACATAAAGTTAGCATAGGCATGCACACACGATATTTTTATAAACATTTTATGTTCAAATTTGTATGAAATTAAATATTTAAACAAAGAATAACGATATTAGTTGTTATGTTGTGATATATTCCTAGGTACTTGACATTTTTAAAGCACATGATATTATAAAATTGTATGCACAGAATGATATTTTAAAATGCAATTTTTCGTTGAAAATTAATTGAACCTACTGTGGTAGTAATCGTAGTTATAAAATAAATTACTTAAATCACAATAATATTGTAATATCTACTTACCACCTAATTGTGTAGGCTGACAGTATTCGTTTAGAATAATAATTTGCGTACAATGATTTCATATAATTGAATTCAAATTTAACACATCCGTAAGTGATTATCTTTTGGAAAAGTTAGATCCCAATAAACAAGTTGTATTATTTAAACTTTTTATTCCATTTTACATCTTATATAGGACCTTTCACTGATAAATTTCTAAGCCAGGGAGTAGTTACAAAAAGCATCAGCTATCGCATTTTCTTACTAAACTTTGTTCGGTAAAATCAACCAAAGCCTCCAACTTTGACAAAAGTATTTGGTCACCACTGGAGCCTTTTAATGGAAGTAATTTATCAAGTTTTAGATAGA